CCTACCCTGGCAGTATACTGCCAGGGTAGGGAGGGGGGAGGGAGGGGGGGCTGGGGTAGGGGGCAAGGGTGGGGCTGGGGTGGGGGGTTTAGTGGGAGGGTTAGGGGGGGTTGGAACCGTCATTTTTACAAACGGGGCACCGTAGATACCCAAACGAACTGGTGTAAGCGACTGGTGTATAAGTAACTGGTGTCATTTTAGACGCTCCCTATATATATATATATATATATATATATATATATATATATATATATATATATATATATATATATATATATATATCAAAACACCATAAGCAAAGCAAATTTATGTTTAAAGATAGCACATAAAGTCACTTAACAAAGAATCGGCCATTTTTTTCACTGATTAGGCGTCGCCTAATCGCGGCTAAGCGTCGCTAAGCGCGCTTAATAGCCTAGTCGGCCATAGGCGCTAGTCGTACAACAAATCTTCATGGCAAAACCGCCTGGACGACTAGTCGGCGACTAGTCGTGGCCTAGGCGACGACTTGACAACCATGGTTTGGAGAGATAGAATTAGGATAGTTTGGTAGTATGGTGGTAGCTTTCATGCTTAACAATGTGTGCTTTTTGCCTACTTTGTGTTTCTTTGTGCATGCTCTCTGCTTCTGTGTTACTCGAGCTAGGGGTCTTTGGAAACAGCCTCTCTACTTCCGAGTAGGGGTAAGGTCTGCGGCAACACACCCTCCCGAGACCCTACTTCTGTGGGATTCCACTTGGTTGTTGTTGTTGTTGTTTTATTCGTGTCCATAGACACAACTCTAGTGGTCAAACTACATTTTTCTTTATATAATTCCGTTGAACATTTGATAAAATAATATAATCAAGTCGCCTCTTCTTTTATAAAACCTTTAGTGCAATTTAAAATGCAAGTATATAAATTTTATTTTTAAAATTTGCACCGATTTTAAATATATTGAATAGAACATAGATTCAAATCATAAATAGAATCAAGAACACTATAGGAAAGGAACAAGTATTTAGTTAAATAATGTGTTGATGTATAAATTCACATCTTTACTTTCTCTCAAGCCATAAACATTAACTATCCAAGTAAGAACAAGTTAATAACATAAATGCCACGTGTCTCATTCCCTCCCTCACATCTGAAATCAGCCATCCAAGTAATTAATATTCTAAAATGTTGGGCTGTTGACGAGTCAAACCACCATCAGAAAGAGTTTGGCTTGTGAAAAATTGTTCTGCTCAAGCTTGCTTTGTTTGTTAATCGAGCCTCTTACATGTGCTCAAGCTTGATCTGTTACAAGCCCACGAGCCTCTCACACTGGCTCGTTCAGAAATGAGAAAAAGCTCAATCTGTACATGTTGTTAAACTTGTAGCAGGATCCAATGGTAAATGACTTTGGAAACATCAATTTACTAGCGTTTACTTTTAGGTTTTCTAAGATGACTTTCTCTCTCGACTCTTCCTAAAAATTAATATTGTACATTGTACTATGTGTGTCTTAAACCTAATGACTTTAGAGCACTTGACAATTGAGACCAAGTACTTTGTGAATTTCATCATTTGGACCTAGCCTACACAAGGGTGTGAGTGCAATACCAAACTATGTGTATGCCCACACAAGCACAATCTTTTATCGAATAAAAATAGAGCCAAATTCAAGTCAAATATGAGTCTATTCATGAAAAAACAATCTGAACCCCATATGATGGGGTTTGGCGTATTAGTAATCGAGCCAAGCTCGAACCTCATTTTTTGATCATTAATATATATTTCGTTACCTCGAGTCAGTTCATGAAAGGCTCTATTCATTAACAGCCCTACTAAAATGAATTGTACGGAATATAATACAAATCATCAGTTTCTAAGTAGATTAGCTATTTAGCTTAGAACTCACCTAGTCTATGATTAAGACCGTACGGCCGGCTCTCTGTGGCCATGAAACCAGCTCCGGAGTTCTACAGGGAAAATTCCACAAGGATAAAAAAATATTCCAAGCTTGGTGAATTTCAATGGGCGTCCGAGTGAAATCACCATACACAAACTCCGGCCAAAACTGGATTTCAAGCAAAAAAACAGCGGAAACTGTGGAAACGATTGGGGATTTTACAGCTGTTGCGCAGTGATGGAGGGGAGAGGAACCCTAAAAAGTGATTTGTATTCTTTGATAGGGAAAAAGTATAGCAATATATCCAATAATCAATGAAAAAACACCATCGCCATCATCATTAAAAGGAGGTGAAAACGCGGTCGATCAACAGAGAGAGAAGGAATTTTTGGGGGAAGAACAGAGGGGAAGACGGGAGGAAGAAGGAGGGCTTGTGTTGGAGAGAAGAAGAGCCGCCTAAATGGAATCCAGTTATGTTCAGACAGCGACTTGCAGGACTTGGGTCACAAAGTTGACGCCAGTGGGCGTCACGCCACTCGCACGCTTGTATAGGCTAGGGGTGGACACGGTACGGTTCGGGACGGTTCCGGTTCCGGAACCGCCGGTTCCGGTACCGCCACCCCTTGGTACCGGTACCGGTACCGGACCGGCCGGTACCGGTTCCGGTACCGTTTCCGGTACCGTTTCGGCCACCCCTGATTTTGTTTTTTTTTTTTTGGCTTTTTTATTATATTTTTAAAATGTAAAATTGTAAATGTGTAATTGTTAAAGGAAATGATGAAATAAAAAAATCTAAAATGAAATTGATAAAGGAAAGAATGAAATAAAAAAATAAAAATAAAAAAAATTAATAACGGTACCGGAACCGGAACCGCCGGTGCCGATACCGAAAAATGGGCACCGGAACCGGTACCGGATTGGGCGGTACCGGTACCGGTTCCCGGAACCGGTGGACCGTACCGGCCGACGGTAACG